AACTGGTGGTCTTTGCTCTGGATCTGAATATTGATCATCTTGTAATTGTTGTTCAGGTACATTTACAACTTGTGATTTTTCAGTGTTTTTTCGATGTATGTTCATTTGAGTATCATTGATGTTGTTATCAATGTTATTTTGAGATGAAACACTCATTTTAGATTAGTCCATTGAAGATGAATGTGTTATATTGATATTAGTACAATATATATATATAGTGTAACAGATATGCGTTAGATGTTCACGCAGTCTCTAAGCCTGTCCTCGTTTTCCAGATGTCGTCGATAAGCACTTCAACCAGAACTCACTGGTCACCAACTACAATCGCCCTTGTTTTTGATTTTTATCTTACTTTTATCTGATTAGAAGGGTGAAACACGAACCTTCAACCTATATAGTTAGATACACGTCTTTCCACTATCATCATAACTATTATCATCATAACTATTACATTAAAATAACTTACCGCATTCAAAAAGAGCCACAATTTATTGAAATTGTGTGATTGTGTGATTATGAAAATAAATGGTTATAGTGATTGATGATAGCAAGATATATTATATTATATACTCTAGTTAATAAATAATATACATACTATTATATACTATAGTTAATATAAGTAATCTGTTGAAGTAGTCACATCGCCTTTTGAGTAATTTTCACTTTTCAAGTTGTTAGTGTTAACTGTGAACTATTAACTGTTGGTGTTCTTAGTGTCATTAGATTAGTATCGTGTTGTCCGTGCCGTATTTCACAGGTTCCATTTCCACTTCAACTGGTAATGTCAAAAAATGAGACAAAGCCGGAATGTAATGACTATATTACTTCAGATAAACACTTCGTTTTTGATGTGGATGATGTTAGAAATGACGAATTGCATGTAATTCCAAAGGTGAGAAAGAATACGGATCTAGAGGTAAACCAAGGATCAACGACAATGCAATAATCAGTTTGGCTAATCTGCAGCAGCCGGTTCAAATCTTTCAAGTTCAAAAGCATGCTATGCAACAACCAGTACAACGGTACAACAACATACTACACAGGCCACACATCAACAAGAGCTGGAGGAACAACAAATACAACAGATACCAGGGGTGCAACAAACACAAGAGGTACAGGAGGCAGATCCCGCTACACAGGCTGAACAACTACCAGTACAACACCTACAACAGCTACAACGGCAGGCTACACCGGGTACGAAACAGCAATTACAGGCAACACCATTTGATGTCCAACAAGGAAATACATCGCTAAATAATGTCATTACAGATCAAAAATCTCAATTGGGGAGCTCATTACTTAGTTATATAGAAGCAGATACATCGGAACATCCAAATACACAAATAGAATTCCAATTATCAACGATTCAATTGATTGGTTTAGCATCACCAGATCGAACTACAAGATTGAAATCAACTTTGGATTTGTCTGATGGAGACTCATCATACGATGAAGTAGACTATTTATCGAATGTTGAGGAATTACTGAATTCAACAAATTCGTATGATTATAAATCAAAATTAAAGTCAGCTCAATGTTGGTCGATTTCAGCACATATTGAATTAATTGGATTACGCAAGATTCAAAATGGTGTTGACACACACAGTACCCAACAATCATTAAAAGAGATAGAATGTTTGGTGTTGAAATATATTGATATATATGGAACATTAGATTCTTTATCACCAACAGTAACATAAATGGTTTGGCGTGTATTCAATGTTAGTTTATATCGTAAATAAGTGTAATCTCGTTTCAAGGTGATAAATTCAATGAGAGTATTGTACAATACACTCAAGAAGGGAACTATATTGAGTATGATTGAAATAGTCAATAAATGTTGGGGTGAAAATATGACCGTTGAACAAGTATTAAGTGATAGAAAATTGTTTCCTGTAGGTATTGATTATTTACCATGTTGATTAAATTAAAGCTTTTCGCTTTTTGTTTTGAAGTTGAACTGCAAAATCTTTTATTTAATAGGATAGAATAGAGGTTTTATTTTTTTTTGTTTTCGATGTGTGTACATAATTATGAATATAATTATAACTGTTGCGTAGCAGTAATATCAACTAATTGAGCGTAATCTTCAGCATCTTCAATGACACCTAGTATAGAACTTTACCATATCCAACAACACAATTGATACGTGAAAAAATATGAGATCAATCCAACAGGAACCCATCTATGATTTTTTTTGATGAAAATATCATCAAAATATTATTCACCCATAAATCAAGTGATAAACTTCCCTCATTCTTAAGTTGAAACAAGGGGTTAGAATATAGAAGCGGGAAGCTAGTGACTAATTATGTAATTTTCCCAAGTAGCAAGTTGATCTGCTTCCTATGAAACCACATGCAACTAGCAAATCATATCGGTATCCATTGTTCAATTCTGAAGTAATGCATCCGATCGGATCACTCAATACTGGTTCTATCGCTCCTTCACTTCTTAATATCATGCAACCAATGCATTTTGCTGAAAGGATTATCAGTAATCCCAATTCAGGGAGAGAATTAATCCCTATTGAATATTGCCGCCTTAAGCCGTTCACAGAGAGAGATGATGTGGTAGCCTAGAATAAATTATTTAGGTATCAGCATACAACTCATGGACCTCAACAGAGGAAATATCTCAATAGCTTTAATATATAGAGGTACTGACAGTAAACTGGAGAATATGTCTCGTTGTGACAAATCGTTTGCCCGTTGAATAGAGCAATCATACTGACAGTATCCATGAATGCTATATAAATATATCCATTGTAATCAACAGCGAGAAGACTCTTTGGAGGTTTGTTTATTTGAAATTGGGATCTATCAGTTCAAATAAGGTCACATTGAGTGAACAGCTAAATAGATATCTTTACATATGGAACTACTCCAGCCTGCAATAGAAAACTCATAGAGAAAAAGCATGCGTCGGATTATTTTAAACTATTTCTGAAGGTCAAACCAATACTAGTTTTTTTTCTTTTCCAAGTATGTTTGATCATCAGGACTTTTATTTTGAGTTTATAAGTTGATTTGTTACTCTTATTGTTCGATTTTTGATTATTAATACTATACTTATATAAAGGGGTAAACTTGATAGAAGGGTTTCTTTTTTCAAATGTAAAGGAAATAAATATTGCCCATGTAGCGAGTGAGACTTATTTATGCTATTGCCTGACTTACTGTAAGCTATATAACTAAAACAATTCTTTTCATGAATGGAGGATAAAAAAACTCAGTCAAAAACCTAATTATTTGAAAATCTCAAAACCAGCATAAGGATTGAAGGAAGTCCCAATGTTAATATCTGGTATCGTATTTAGGCAGATGTTGATTATCTGAGATTTTGAATAAAAAAACTTTCATTTAGTTTTATTGTGATAATAGAATGCTTACTGAGAGTTAACTATACAAAATGACAGACCAATAAAATGATTCAAGTAATGAGATTGAAAATCGTTGAGATTTTATAATTTATTGTTCAAGGGAAAAATAACTGGGAGCGAGCAATTTTGGCTTCAAAGGAGTTTGGCTCCTGAGCAATTAAAGGAAGTATGTCGGACTCCACCATGTAGCCATCTCATTGAACAAAGTCGACAAAGGCCTTGAAAGTTTGAGTTTGTAGTACCTAGCTGTAGATGATAGAACCATTCAGTGAAGTTTTCAAGAACTGATCGCGCTTGGAACCTAGCAATCGAAAGTTGGATACCCTTTTTGAATTGGTGGCTGGATGAAGGTTCTTCAGTAAGATGCGTACTACTTTAGTAAGATGCATACTACTGATCCAAGACTGATTCTGGTATATGACTCATTATATGATCATCTTTGTCCCAGTTTAAGCTATTGGGTAAAACACTGGTGATCCTTCTGGCTGGTAATGACTCTTCAAAAAGTTAGTCTCTTATCTCGAACAATCTTTCAAATTTGAATGTTTCAAAAGATCAGACTTTGAGGTTATTGAAAGTTGAAAATAATCATCTGAGTCAACTACTGGCAAGAGATATTTAGTGAACTGAAGTGAAGTGCTAAGATAATGTAGAAAAGGGAGAAGAGATTTCTAATTTGTCGATGCACCGTCGAAGAGGTAGAAAGTTCTCACTTAGCTATTGAATCAACTTAGTTTATATTATAAAATTAACCTTCTTATATTAAATTTACCTAACTAAGTATATCATACAAGTTATTAGTATTGTTCGAAACGATCATCAGCGGACTACAGTCTACAGATCACTACCAAGTATAATTGATAGTTTAGTCAACAAAACTAGTACTACAATTAACTATAATAGCTTGAATTTTAGACGTTTATCAACCAAACTGTAAACCGTCTCCAGTACTACGTCTCTCCAAGTGATAATTCAAGAGAAGACGGTGAAACATGTGATGCTTTATTCTATAATCACACCTATCCCTCGATACTTTAGATTTGCGCGATACATAGTAAAGATACATTGAAGTTGTACAACTTATTATTCTAGCTTACAATTTGGCTTATATACAGCGAGCACATCAAAGGCTACATAGTAGAGATGCCAGTCAACGTTATAGTGGCAACTGAGAGTTGAAGTCTAGGAAAAAAAGGTAACCGACAAACTGGAGGTCGTCTGAGAGGGAAATTCGGCGGTTCAAGTGCTTGATACACGACTTCCAGCTATTGTATAGACTCGGAGTCTACAAGGAAATGTTTGGGACTGTCATAGTGCATGTAAGGTGCAATATATCTTTCATAAATCAATAGTAGATGGAGACTGAATGCAAAAACAGTTTTCATTATTATTTCTGCGACGTTGAATTCAGCAGATTGTAGGCTCAGTTCAGTAGCGGTGGCAATGAGAACATTAGGAGTGCTATATATACCTCTGATAAACGTGTAGGTACACTTGAATACGATTCAAATTCGTTATAGAGAGAGATTTGAAGAGAAATAATGGTTTGAAATGTGTAATTTTGCGCAAAAAGAAGTGTAGTTAAGTAGTATTAAATACGCTTAAAATGTTCAAAGTTGGGAGATTAGTGTAGTGGTTATCATACCTGCCTTCCAAGCAGGTGACATGGGTTCGAATCCCGTATCTCTCATAAGATATCCCAACTTTATTTTTTTTGATTAATGCGTACTGCTGCTCTCTCTTCTTTTTTTTTTGGCTGTCATTAGAGTGCTACCTAAGGTTTATCAGCAATGTGTATACTCAGCTCAAATAGGTTTTGAGCAAGGTTATTTTTGGAAACCTCTTGACCAATGATGTGTCTTCTAATGTATAGTGATTAACATAAAGATGTGTAGCAATTGAAAATAACGTTTGAAGGTTCGCTAGGTGCTATTTGGCTATAAGCAAGCTTTATCATAACTCGATTACATCTAGTTGTGAAATACAATGATATGTTGAAGCTTTTGCTTACTCAACTTTGTGCTTACTAAGTATTGATCGACTGAACTTATAAGTTTTATTGAGAAATACTTACCTACTTGTTTTTTCTATAAACTTTACCATTTTTCAAAGAGAAATGATCTTTCATAATTGCTTTCAAATTACTTTTAACATTCGGATTAGCACTAACTTTTGCCTTTAATGCCTTGATCAACAATGGAAGTTCTAAAGGTCCATCATTTAATAAAACATCGATATCTTCTTTAGTTATTTGATTAGCATTGGATGCTGCTGAACCACTTGCATCTGACAAGACTGGAGATTCTTCACGAGACTCCATTTTTATTTTAATTTTCTTCAATGGCTGTCCATTTTCCAAGACATGCTCTGGAGATGTTGATCTCTTAATAGATAATCTTGGATTCCAATCACCTGGTGGGAATTCAGTCAATACCTGCGACGGCACTTTCAATGTAACAATTGTACCTGAATATGATTCAACATATATTTTTCTTTTCTTGGTTGGTTCAGTTGAAGTTGATCCATCAGCTTCTTCAGCGTTTTGTAATTTTTCAGAATCGGAATCTTCCTTTTTAACTTTGATTTCATTATCATTATTTTTAGATTCTGGATCTTCAGTTTCACTTTCACTCAAATATGGGTTTTCATCTTCTTCATCATCAGTATCATACACTTCATTCATTGCATTTTTGGCTAAAGCATTTCTTAATTTTTTACCTTCTTTATCAATCTTTCTAGCATCAAATAAATCATCCAAATCATCATCTTGTGGATCTGTTTCGATAAGATTACTTGCTCTTAACATTTCTTTTTTCATTTTATTTTCAACAAGTTTACTTTCTTCATCATTACCTTCCAAAATTGGAGCTTCTTCATCATCTTGAAATTCTTCATCATAGTCCAGGGCTTCATCATCAGATCTTTTAGTTTCATCCTCATTTAATCTTGAAGTTGTTTTCATTTTTCTATATCTTAAATCAACCCTTTCACCTCTTCCAGCTTCTTCAGCCATTCGTTTCATTAACCATCTAGAACTAGAACTACCTTCTTTCATTTTTGCTTCAGCTTCTTCTAAAGTTAAAGTTGCATATTTATTTCTAGATGTAAATTTATAGAATTTTTCAACTGGCATCAATTTGAAACATTTGTTTTCATTATCTAAAACCAGTAAACAATAATTATCAGTATTACCAGCTTCATAATTACCAACCCAAGCTTGTTTTGCATCATAATCTTCCATAACCCATGGATAAAATTCTTCATATCTTAATTTTTTCTTTTCTTCATCATAATCTCTAATTTGTCTTGTCTTTTTCTTGAAGATTTGCTTCTTAGATTTTCTTGCACCACCATCAGGTGCAACAATTAATAAATCTGCTTCCTTTTTAGCTTGTTTTTTAGCTTCTTCAGCTTCTCTTCTTTTTTGATCTTCCCATCTTGTTCTTTCTTCTGGTGTCATACCTTCCAGTTCGATACTTTCATCAATTTGTTCATCAGTTAAAGCTGCAGGTAGCAAACCTTTCTTTTGTAGATATTCTCTTCTTTTTTCAGCTTTTTCAATGAGTCTCTGCTTATCTTGAATTTTTTTCTCTTCAAGTTCTTTTAAAGACAACTGAAATTGTAAATTCTTAGGATCTTTTCTATGCAATTTAGCTGGCTCTTGGAAATCTGAAGCTGGATTGATCTTCTTAACAGAATGGAACTTTAGTATATGAAATCTTGTATCTTCAATCTCTTCTTGGGTACAAGCTTTCAATGGATAAGACTCATAGCTCTCCTGAGACGACACGGGTGGGCCCACAGATAATGGCACTAGACTTGGACTAGCCTCCTCTTTCTTAATGACATTGTTGACAGCAGACATTCTAATAGATTATGGTGATGTATATGATACCGAAGACAATCCTTCTGTTTGGCCCTCTACTATTCTCTATCTCTTGTTTTGTTCGAGACCTTCCTTTGTCAAAAAAAAGCCAAAATTACTGAAAATCGACGCAGCGCCGATCGACGATCGACGCATAAAAAGAGAAAAGATAGCAATCCAAACTCAAACATCCGTACACCACAAAACCCCTGTAATTTTCCCTGCTCTGCAGTCTGCGCACACACAGCACTTGTATTTAGCCAGATTAGCTTGTCTGTGTCTGTCTGTCTGTCTGTCTGTCTAAGTGTTATCCGTGTCTCCGTGTGGAGTAAAATAAGAAGAGTTGGCATTGAGATAGCAATCATGTGGTTGCAAGAATGAACTGCTTTGAAATCGGTTAATATTGTTGTAAGGAGTTTGATGAAGTACCCCCTATTTTATTATTTTCGTTTGACATCTAGTTTACGATAAGGATCTACTGATAAGACAAAATCAACAAAGGGGCCGTGAATAAATAAAACTCCGAAATAATATCGACTCCCCGGAAAGGACTCCGAGATGAATGAAGAATATCGGCTAATTACTCCATTACAATATCCAACTGCAACTAACACTAAAAAACATCACTTCCTCCCCACACTCAGGCGGGTGAATTCATGCCATGTTGTGTTTCAACACTCTATGCTAACTATTCTTTCCAATGCCAAAGTCACACCATCATTTGTTGTCAAAGACCCAATCGCAGAACATGTAGTCTATTTCAAACTGGCATAGCTCAAGGCAGATCGATACAACCCGTTTTAATGTGTAACTAATTTACCCCAGATTATATCAGCTGTTTCAATAGTTTTCTTGTAGTTTGGTTCAACTTGGTAATTGTTGCCTAGTTCTGGTAATTGAACTACTTGTTTCATCAAGCGGAGTTATTATTGTAATTGCAAAATGCTTTTCTAACCCTCTTCAAATTAATTATAAATATCACCTTGTTTATCATTATTCATTTCATTTAATTCAAGTTAGTATTCACCTTCCTTCTTTCAACAATCGTTAGTTTATTTCACAAAATTCTTAGCTGGTTTAAGAATTTTAATTATAACTATACTACACTGTTAATTACTCAAACAAACTTTTAAAAAACATGGCTATTCCTGACGAATTCGATATCATTGTTGTTGGTGGTGGATCTACTGGTTGTGCAATTGCTGGTAGATTAGGAAATTTGGATGAAAATGTTACTGTTGCATTAATTGAAGGTGGTGAAAACAACATTAACAATCCATGGGTTTATTTACCTGGTGTTTATCCAAGAAATATGAGATTGGATTCTAAAACCGCCACTTTCTACAGTGCTAGACCATCTCCTCATTTAAATGGTAGAAGAGCTATTGTTCCATGTGCCAATATCTTGGGTGGTGGTTCATCAATTAATTTCTTGATGTATACAAGAGCTTCTGCTTCTGATTATGATGATTGGGAAATGGAAGGTTGGAAAACTGAAGAATTATTACCATTGATGAAGAAGTTGGAAACTTATCAACGTCCATGTGCAAACAGAGATTTACATGGATTTGATGGTCCAATTAAAGTTTCTTTTGGTAATTATACTTATCCAAATTGTCAAGATTTCATTAGAGCTGCTGAATCTCAAGGTATTCCATATGTTGATGATGCAGAAGATTTGAAATGTTCTCATGGTGCTGAACATTGGTTGAAATGGATTAACAGAGATTTGGGTAGAAGATCTGATTCTGCTCATGCTTATATTCATCCAACAATGAGAAACAAACAAAATTTGTTTTTAATTACTTCAACTAAATGTGATAAGATTATTATTGAAGATGGTGTTGCTACTTCTGTTAAAACAGTTCCAATGAAACCAACAGGATCACCAAAGAAGGCTATTGCAAGAATTTATAAGGCTAGAAAACAAATTGTTGTTTCTTGTGGTACTATTTCATCTCCATTAGTTTTACAAAGATCAGGTATTGGTGCAGCTCATAAATTAAGACAAGCTGGTATTAAACCTCTTGTTGATTTACCAGGTGTTGGTCAAAATTTCCAAGATCATTATTGTTTCTTTACTCCATATCATGTTAAACCAGATACTCCATCATTTGATGATTTTGTTAGAGGTGATAAAGCTACTCAAAAGGCTGCATTTGATCAATGGTATGCTAATAAAGATGGTCCTTTAACAACCAATGGTATTGAAGCTGGTGTTAAAATTAGACCAACTGAGGAAGAATTGGCAACTGCTGATGATGAATTTAGAGCTGCTTATGATGATTATTTCGGTAATAAACCAGATAAACCATTGATGCATTACTCTATTATTTCAGGTTTCTTTGGAGATCATACTAAGATTCCAAATGGTAAGTATATGTGTATGTTCCATTTCTTGGAATATCCATTTTCAAGAGGTTGGGTTCATGTTGTTTCATCTAATCCATATGATGCACCTGATTTCGATACTGGTTTCATGGAAGATCCAAGAGATATGTGGCCAATGGTTTGGTCATATAAAAAAGCTAGAGAAACTGCAAGAAGAATGGAATGTTTTGCTGGTGAAGTTACATCTCATCATCCAAAATTCCCATTTGATTCACCTGCAAGAGCTGCTGATATGGATTTAGAAACATGTAAAGCATATGCTGGACCAGATCATTTTACTGCTAATTTGTATCATGGTTCATGGACTGTTCCAATTAAGAAACCATCTGCTAAGAATTCTCTTCATGTTACATCAAATCAAGTTGAATTGTATGATGAATTGGAATATTCTAAAGAGGATGATAAAGCTATTGAAGATTATATCAGAGAACATA